ACAACAGAAAGAGTAATAGCTTCCTGGACTGGGAAGTGGCATCGGTCTCTACTTAAACTCTTGAATGCATAGGTGCCGAGCCTGGACAGAAAGGGACCATGGCTCCCTTGGGTTAGGATTAACAGGTAAAGGATAAGAACTCTGTGAAATTTGAATTCGAGGCATAGAGTGAATAATTATTGTAGAGTAAATAGTCCCAAGTAGGGTTTATGAACATTGTGTAGCAAAAGCTTTTTCAAAGAGGTTCCTGAAAGAAAAATCTTTTGAAAATTTAATTCCAGTAGAGTTAACATGCAGTGCTATCTTAGTTTCAGGTGTACGATAGAGTGATTCAGTAATTCTGTATATTACTCAGTGCTCATCAAGAAAAGTGTACTCTTAATCCCCTTCACCCATTTCAGTCATCCCTCCATCCACCTCCCCTCTGGTCACCATCAGTTGTTTATTGTTAAGAGTCTGCATTTTGGTTTGTCTCTTTTCTCCTTTATTTATTTATGTTTGTTTTTTAAATTCCACATAAGAGTGACATCATATGGTATTTGTCTTTCTCTGACGGACTGATTTCACTTAGGATAACACCCTCTAGCTCCATCCATGTGGCTGCAAATGGCAAGATTTCATTCTTTTTTTATGGATGAGAAGTATTACACTGTGTGTGTGTATGTGTGTGTGTGTGTGTATACACATCTATCATCTCATTTATCAGTTTATCAACAGTTTATCATTTATCAGTTTATCAACAGTATTCCACTGTGTGTGTGTGTGTATACACTCATCTATCATCTCATTTATCAGTTTATCAACAGTATTCCACTGTGTGTGTGTGTATACACACATCTATCATCTCATTTATCAGTTTATCAACAGTATTGCACTGTGTGTGTGTGTGTGTGTATACACACATCTATCATCTCATTTATCAGTTTGTCAACAGTTTATCATTTATCAGTTTATCAACAGACACTTGGTTCCTTCCATATTGTGATATTGTAAGTAATGTTGCAAGAAGCACAGGGGTGCATGCATCCTTTTGAGTTATCATTTTCATATTCGTTGGGTAAACACCCAGTAGTGTGATTGCTGGATTGTAGAGTAGTTCTAGATTTAATTTTTTGAGGAACCTCCATCCTGGTTTTCCACGGCGGCTGCAACAGTTTGCATTCGCACCCACAGTGCACGAGGGTTCCCCTTTCTCCACATCCTTCCAACACCTGTTGTTTCTTGTGCTGCTGCTGTTAGCCATTCTGACATTGTGAGGTAATATCTCATTAATTTTGATTTGCATTTTCCTGATGATCGGTGATGATGAGCATCTTTTCATGCGACTGTTGGCCATCTGTAGTTCTTCTGTGGAGAAATGTCTGTTCATGTCTTCTGCCTATTTTTTAACTGGATTATTTGTTTTTTGGATGTTGAGTTGTATCAGTTCTATACATTTTGGGCACTGTCCCTTTATTACATATGATATTTGCAAATATCTTCTCCCATTCGGTAGGTTGTCTTTTTGTTATTATTTTCATTGTTCTTGTGCTGTGTGGAAACTTTTTATTTGGATGTAGTCCCAGTAGCTTATTTTTGCTTTTGTTTCCTTTGCCTCAGGAGATACGTCTAGAAAAATGTTGGTGTGGTCTATGTCAGAGAAGTTAGTGTTTGCGCCCTCTTGTAGGATTTTTATGGTTTCAGGACTCACGTTTAGGTCTTGAAACTATTTTGAGTTTGTGTGTATGGTGTAAGAAAGCGGCTAATTCCATTCTTCTGTGCATAAGTGTCCAGTTTTCCCAACACCATTTGTTGTAGAGACTGTTCTTTGTCTTTTCGATATTCTTGCCTGCCTTTTGGGTTTATGTCTGAGCTTCTGTCCTGTTCCCTTGGTCACTATGTCTATTTTTGTGCCAGTACCATACTGTTAGGATGACTACAGCTTGTAGTATAATTTGAAATCTGGAATGGTGACTCTTCCAGCTTTGTTTTTTTCTCAACATTGCATTGTCCGTTCATTATCTTTTGTGGTTTCATATAAAATGTTAGGATTGTTGGAGTTTTTTTCTTTTTAAAGTTTAAATTCAGTGAGCCAACTTACAGTACATCATTAGTTTCAGTTGTAGTGTTCAATAAGTTAACAGTTGTGTATAACGCCCATTGCTCGTTGCATCACATGCCATCCTTCATGCCTGTCACCCAGTTATTGCATCCTCCCCCACCTCCCCTCCAGCAACCCTCCTTCTGTTGCTAGAGTTAAGAGTCCCTCATGGTTTTTCTTCCTCTCTGATGATTTTCCATTGAGCTATTTCTCCCTTCCTGTATGGTCCTCTGTGCTGTTTCTTTTATTTCCCATATGAGTGAAACCATATGACAGTTGTCTTTCTCTGATAGATTTACTTCACTCAGCATAGTACCGTCCAGTTGCATCCAGGTCGATGGGATGGTAAGTATTCATCCTTTCTGATGGCTGGATGATATTCCATTGTATGTATGTAACACATCTCCTTATGCATTCATCTGTCCATGGACATCTGGGCTCTTTCCACATTTTGGCTATAGTGGACGTTGCTGCTGTGAACATTGCGGTGCAGGTGCCCCTTCTTTTCACTATAGATATGTATCTTTTGGGGAAATACCCAGTAGTGCAATTGGTGGGTCATAGGGTATCTCGATTTTTAATTTCTTGAGGAACGTCAATGTTGTTTTCCGGAGTTGCTGTACCAGTTTGCATTCCCACCAACAGTGTAAGAGGGGTCCCCTTCCTCCACACCCCACCAACATTTGTTGTTTCCTGTGTTGTTAATTTTAGCCATTCCGCCTGGCATGTTGGGGTACCGTATTGTGGTTTAGATTTGTATTTCCCTGAAGCCAAGTGATATGGAGCACTATACAAGTGTTAGTCAGTTGTATGTCATCCTTGGAGAAATGTCTGTCCATGTTTTCATCCATGTGTATATCTGAGGTTGGGTTAAGGTCCTGAAGCTTGGAAGATGTGATCGGCCAGAAGGGTGATCTTCACAGGTGAGCCTGGGTGAGGGGCGAGGGGTGAGGGGTTCAGGCTAGGGTGAGGGGATTTGGGCTAAGGGTTGGGGTTCAGGCTAGGGCTTAGGGCTTAGGGGTTAGGGGTTAGGGTTAGGGTTTGGGGTGGGGCTAGGGCTAGGGCTTAGGGCTTAGAGGTTAGGGTTAGGGTTCGGGTTCGGGTTGGGAGTTCGGGTTCGGGGTTTGAGTTAGGGTTTTGGATTTAGGGGTTCGAGTTCAGGTTCACATTCGGGGTTCAGGTTCGGGTTCAGCATTTGGGGTTTGAGTTCTGGGTTCAGGTTTAGGGTTTAGGGGTTTGAGTTCAGATTTGGGTTCGGGGTTATGGACCTGGGGTAGGGGTTCGGGTTAGGGTTTGGGTTCGGGTTGGGATTGGGGTTGGGGTTTAGGGTTTAGGGTATGGGTTAGGGTATGAGTTTGGGTACGGGTTAGGGTATGGGTTAGGGTTAGGATACGGATTAGGGTTAGGGTATGGGTTAGGGTTAGGGTACGGGTTTGGGTACAGGTACGGGTTAGGGTTAGGGTACTGGTTAGGGTACGGGTTAGGGTACGGGTTAGGGTTAGGGTACAGGTTAGGGTTATGGTATGGGTTAGGGTTAGGGTACGTGTTAGGGTGCAGGTTAGGGTTAGGGTATGTGTTAGGGTACGGGTCATGTTAGGGTTAGGGATTAGGGTCTCCCTGTCCTCTGCTGCACAGAACCCATTCTCCTCTGGTAACTAGAGTGATATTTTCGGAACATAACCTTTGGGCCTCTCTGTGGTCTGCTCCCCTCCTGCCCGACCTCCCCAGCCTCACCTCTTCCACCACGGCCCCCCTTTCTGTGGGCCACCCTAGTGTGTGGTCGTCCACATGTGCCCTGGACCTGACTACAGGCCTTTCCTTTTGCTGTGCCCCCTGTCAGGATCCCTCTTCTATCCCCCTGCTTCATATTGGGCTTGTTGCCCCATTGGCTGGGTCTGGACTTGCCCTCTGGTGACCTGACTTATGTCTGCTGGTTGAGTGTTCCTATCCCCTATTTAAATGTAGTGCCCGCCTTCCCTGTATGAGCGATTTACTAACCTGCCAGGTATGGGGCAGGCACAGGGAAGTAGCCTTAGCGCCTATGCAAAAAAATCAGTCTCAGAGGGGCTCACCACACTTGCTGATAATGGGGGAGCTGCTGTCCTCACAGGGGGGAGCAGGTAGTACCCTTAAAGGGGGACCAGCCATGGGATGTGGTTGGATAAGACTTTGAACCCTTTGGGGCTGGGGAGATGTAGACCTGGACCTGGAAGCTTACACCCTTGGATTCAAGCCTGGGGCCTAAGCAAGCCCCCTCTTCTTCCTGGTGTCGTCTTTTGCCTTCCCTGTCCAAGGGCTGGACCTGATTCCTGATGTGGCAGAGTTTGAGGGTGACCCCTCCTAGGAATACCAGTGGCTTACTGAGCACCTTGTCAGCAGGATGCCCAGCAGCCTTCCAGGGAGGACCCTACAGGAAGTGGAGACAGGTCTGTGGGGGCCAGCGGCAGCCCATTCAAAGCAAAGTGGGACAGGTGTCTGGCCCTGCTGATTCTACCCACTCTGTAAGACATAGAAATGAGGGCTGTGCCCAAAGGTGCTTCCCTCCTGGAAGGTGGGGATGGGATCTGCAGGGGGGGCGGCCAGTGGAGGGCACCTGCAGGGTTTGCCCAGGAGCTCAGCACAGGGGGAGTGTTCCTGGCTCCAGCATGCTGACTGTGGGGCTGCATGGGTTTCCAGCCTCCGAAGCCTCAGGCTCCCCTTTGGAAGACGGGGTGCTGATGGCCCCCATCTCTGGGAACAGACATTAGGGAGGCCCTGCTGGCAGATTCCCTCAGGGAGGTCAGGAGGTGGCTGTTGCTTAAAGCAGCCCAGGGCCCACCCCCTTGAAGAAGGTGCACATGTCCATGGCCCCCAACTCTGGGTTCCTGCTGCCAGCCTCTGGCAGTGACCCTCTTCCTGCCCTGTCCACTGCCCCTGTGGATACGTGGTCTTCCTGGAGCTATTCCTGCAGACAGCAGAGAAGTACTTCATGGTGGGGCATGGGGTCAACTACTAGGTTTTCACCAATCAGCTGGCTGCTGGGCCCCGTGTGCCCCTCCAGGTAGGCTGGAGGGTGGTGGTCCTCATGGTGGACACAGGGTCACTTACTACGTCTTCAACGACCAGCTGGTTGCTGTGTCCCGTGGGCCACTCTGGGAGGGCCGGAGGGTGGTGGTCGTCGAGGTCCGCGGCGTCCTGCTATGGCAGGATGTGTCCATGTGGCACATAGCGATGATCAGCTGCTTCTGCGAGCAGCGCTTCCTCTGTGACGTGGAAGACCTGGTGTGCGTGGACGTGGATGTGGGAATGAAGTTCTGGGACCACGTGGGCATGGAGATCCTGCCTCCCCTCTTTGGCACCCCACATCTCGGTTTCTACTGGGCAGCCCATGAGGACTTTAGCTACGAGCGCTGGCCACAGTCCCAGACCCACATCCCCAGGGACCAGGGCAACTTTTACTACATGGGGGCCTTTTTTGGGGAATTGGTTGTAGAGTTTCCCCGACTGACCTCAGCCTGTCACCAGGCGATGGTGGTCAACTGGGCCAATGGGATTGAGGCCATGTGGCCCGATAAGAGCCACCTGAACTGGTACCTGCTGGACCACAGGCCCACCAAGGTACTGTCCCCGGAGGACCTGTGGGGTCCACGGCTGCTGGGCTGGTCCCCCATCATTCCCCGGGTCATGAAGAAGCTGAGATTTGTGGCTGTGCCCAAGAAACACCAGGACATCTGGAACCCACGCAGGGCTGCCCCCGTCTCCATCAGGGGGTGCTGCCTTGAGCGGAGCCGTCAGAACAGATTCCTACTTCTGTCCCCTTGCGGGAAACTGTGGAGCCCAGCACTGCTTGCATGGGCACGCCAACGCCGCAGCCACCCCTGTGCACAGGAGGCCTGCCTGGGGGCACAAGTTCCTCTCTTTGTGGTCACTATATTTTGATCATTTCGGGGTCATTTGCAGCTGTGAACGGCTCCAGTTTTATGTCGGATGTTTTTCTGTGTCAATGCTGAGCAACCATCTTTAAAAAGAACAATTGAGGGAAAAATTTTTCTCCATGGTTCTAAACAGACATCTCCTGTTTGGGCTGGGAGCAGTCCTGTAGCAGCCATGGACCCAGAACGGGAGCTGGCCAGGTCTTCCCTCCCAGTCCTTACACCTCACTGCGGCCATGGGGCTTCAGGGTCAGGGGTGCGCCGCTCCACCTCTCAGACCCCCAGTGCTCTCCCCACCAGAGGCCTTGGCTGTGGCCACTAGCTCGGCCTCCAGGAGTGTGGAGCCCTCTGGGCTATATGAGGTTCCTGCCTTAGTTTTAAATGACTATTTCTGTGCTGGTGTTTGTGAAATGTGGGCACTCACTCTGACTGGTTGCGCGTCCCTTTGGGACTCCTCAGTGCCCACCAGTGGGTTTGCACTTGTGCACTTTCTCTGGACCAGCTGCCTGCACTGTGTCTTAGCAAGCACTTACTGAGCTCAGTCACCCAACAAGGGGCAGAGCATGAGAGCGAGAACTAAGATACAGGCTCCCGACTCCTGGGCCCTCCAGGGACTCACGACGGCCCCGACTTCCTGACTCACTTCTTTTGTATTGTAGTATAATGGACATACAGCTGATACCATGAAGCACGTTTCAGTGGCAATAAGTATATTCCCTGTTCTGCACCGGCTACCTCCGTCCATCGCCACAACGTTTTCATCATCCCAAACTGAACCTCTACCCATGAGACCCTAAGCCCCCATTCCCCTTCCCCAGCCCCGGCACCCAGCAGCTCCTTCCACCTCTGTGAATGGGAGTGCTCTCCATCCCTCACAAGTAGGGTCCTCCAGTGTCGGTCCTTTAGGGACTGGCTTATTTCACATGGTGTAATGGCCTCAAGGTCTGTCCCTGTGAGCCTGAACCTGACCCACTTTCCCCCCAAAAGTGTGGCTCAGCCCTCTCCTGTCTGAGCCGAACCTCCTCAGTCCCCTCTGCTCCCCTCACCTTCCTCCTCAGCCTGAAGATGATCCCAGCCAGTCTGCAGCGTTGAAGACCTGTTCAGTCCGGATGCCAGGCACATACCTCGGGGGCCTCGGGCCTCACCTATACGCCATCTGTCCACGTCAGGTGCCTGCCCCCCTCCCCCAGCTGACCACCTGCACCTCCCACAGGTGTCCCCATCTCAGGAGAGGAAAACACCAAGTCCAGACCCTTGGAGTCCTCTGGGACTTCTTGCTTGCTACCAACTCTCCCAGCAGTGAAGTGGCTACTGGAGGACATTCAATGTCCAAAACATTTAAAGGCATACGTGAGTCTCTGCTGCCTAAGGCAATGGATAACAGTTGGGGCAAATAGAAACCAAGCAGAATCACTGGAAGAAAGGCCGAGGAATGAGGAGCTTTAGGGAAGAAGGTTGTGGAAGCTCTGACTGCCCCTACCTGACCTTCAGGTGCTCCTCAGTTACTCCTGTGCCTCTGGTATCTTCCTGGAACCCTGACATGGCTGTTTTCAGACAGCTCGTCCAGCAGCACCCTCAGTTTCTGGGAGGTGTATTTGCTGGAATCCACAGTGTGTCCTGCTGCCCCACCGGGATCGCGTTTTGAAGGTGCATCACCCGGGCCATCTGAGGAGCCAAGACTGTGGGTCTGTGACCTGGAGGGATTCTGAGCAGAACTGGTGGGATGGGAGAGGTGCAAGGCCCAGAGGCAGGATTCCAGAAAGCCGACTCGGGTCCCCGGCATCCTACCGTTTTTGAATCAAAGCCCTGAGATCTTTAAAATGCCAGCAATGTTACAGCATGGGCCAGAAAAGGAAATATCCCTGTGCACCCAACCCCACCTAAACTATTGGACATTTCTTGTCACTTGAGCTGAGGTCAAAGGACTGGGTGTCGGGGCTTGAGGTGGGTCCTGGGCCAGACTTTGTATTTGGGGGACAAAGGCCATCCAGACAAGCTTGTGCTGAGCCTGAGGAGGGGGTCTGTGTGGAGACCCCAGCTGCAGGCACCGCGGTCCACGGAGGCCCCCTCAGCCTGCCCCAGTGCACCTGCTGCTGGGGAGAGCCTGCCCCCTCCTCTCTGCCTGAGGGCTCTCTCCTGCACCAGTGCCTCCTCCCCTGTCAGCCACTGCCATCCTGCAACCTGGGAGGGTGGCTACCCCGAGATCCTCCAGCTGCTGGGGGAGCACCTGCCCCGTCCTCTCGGCCTGAGGGTTCTCTCCTGCATCAGGTGCACCTCCTCTCCTGCCAGTCACTGTCAGCCTACAGCCTCAGAGGGTGGATACCCTGACCCCTCCAGCCCTGGGGACAGAGCTGGTGTGGGTGAGATGTGGTCTCCCAGCAGGCCTGAGTGCCAAGTCCCCACAGTGCTCACTCTACTCCTGCAGGCTCACTGTGCCACATCCTCTCTCAGTCTCCCTGGGCCCAAGTCTTCCTCTGCTCACGGACCATCCTTGACCCAGGCTCCACACGCTGGGACTGGGAGCAGGTCGTCTGGACCTTCTGGACTCTCACTTCCGTGCCCGTGACATGGGTAGAGTCCGGCCTCACAGACTGCTCAGAGGAGACCCAGCACAGGAAGATGCAGGCCACTGCAAGGGAGATGCCAAGTGACCCCAGAGGGAGCACACAGTCCCTGCAAAAAGCACCAGGCTCACGGGACCCAGCATGGGATGTGGGCATCAGGCAGGGGGCACAGGGAGTCCTGGTGGGGAGGCCATGGAAAAGTCCCAGAAGAGGCAGGAGACAAGGAAGACGACAGGACAGAGCTTCCCAAGGAGGTTGATGAAAGGATCAGAGAATCGCAGAGACCCTTGGGAAAACTCAGAGGCCCTGGAGATGTTGGCTGAAACGTGTCATTTGGTCAGAAAAGTTGGGTCACAACACCCCAGTTGACACTG